AATTAGTAAAACTGTTAATTATGAATGTGGTCATCCTGGCTCAGACATAATTTTTTAATTAGTAAAAGTGTTAATTATGACTGATTTAAGATTTAAAAAAAAAGACAGAAAAATTGATATTTTTAATAAAATTAATAGAAATGCAAATGAAGATGAAACTTTAAAGAATTCGAAGCATAAAATAATTTGTCAGTAACCAAATTTAATGAATAACAATAAATACAACATCTGCATTTCTTAACAACTGGAAGATTTCAAAGGAACGGATAGTTTCTGACAGGATAATTATTTTTAGTGAAAATATCTAATTCGATTGTTTAAGCTGGGTAAGTTAATTTTCAATTAACCACATTCAAATTACAGTTCTCTGAAAAAGCAGTAATATTAATACAATTAAAAAAATTGTTTTCCAATTTAAAAAAATTAGAAATTTCCAGCAACAAGCTCAGTATCTTTAATAATGAGCTTAGTTTTATTTAAGCATTTCACACATTAGAAAGTTAAATTTCTAATACATGAGCATTGATTTCTTGATAAAATTTGACAAAATAATTCAGTACTTCCTTTTTATAGTAGGTCACTCAGTTTCAGGAATGTACATATTTTGAACTACTTCACCTCAAAATTTTAAGATGCATCTTATTTTGTCATTTACATTGGACCTTCAGATTAATTGAAAAACTGGTAAATATCATGTTGGATTTAAACTGCGTGAAAAAATATGCATACTTTACAACATTTTCTGTGATAAAACTACATGGTGGTGGATTTGAATAATTTTATCAATTAATTCACTATTTAAACTAGCAATAATTAGCTATATTAATTAAGTTATGATGAATTATCTAAACAAACATCACAATTTCAACCTAACTAAAAATATTTTAGGAAGCGCATGTACTGAAACTGGCTCAGTACCATCAGAGGATAGAATTATATGTGAAATGATGACATTTACTTTACTATAAAAATTGCAAGAAAAAGTAACCAATTTAAGTGACAAAATGCAGAAGCAAGCAATTTTTACATATCAGCTCACGGTATACATTTAGTTGCAGACTGAGTTAACCGATTTTTAGCTGTAAGTTGGCTGCTAAGGAAATTTCACAGTTTTAATGGGTGAAGTACAGAATCACCCACTTATTTGGCGTATTAAGTTTGGCGCTTTTTACAAGAGTTAAGAAGAATTGGATTTTTGTCAATTTCCTTTGACTTTTTAAGTGAAAATACATTGATGTGTACATGGACAAAGTCAAGAGAGTGTGCAATGCCGAATTTGTGCAATTCTCTGATGTTTTTTTAAATGAAAATAGGTCAATGTGTACATGGATACCAAATTTGTGCAATTCTTAAAAACGCGCCAAGCAGTGGGCGATTCGGCACTTTCACCATTTTAATCAGGTTAATTCAAATATATGAACAGGTTAAGTGGTGTTAATATAAATACATGAGCATATAAATAACATTAGTATAAATATATAAGCATATACAAATTAATTAGTATATGTAAATATATGAACAAGTTTGTCTTAAAAAGTTTTCCATAAAAACATATTTTATGGAAAACTTTACAAACTGCTTTTTAAATGTCAGTTTCTAGGATAGGGAACTGAGTACAGCAAAGCACATAAACTTCACAGGATTCAAGTGAGCCCTTTGATATATTTTTATATCTCATGCTTGACTATCTCTCATAATTCCACAGAGAATTTTTGAAAAGCAACCAATTCATATTAACATTATACACAAAGGAAACAATAAAAATCTTACTAAACTAGCCTGTTCTCTTGCTAGGAATAATTTTTGAATTGTAACACCTTTTCTTTAAAATAAACCTTTAGAAAATTAAACTCGGTTTAAATATACCTAACCTAACATTTAAAAAAACAAATTAAAATAATTTATCTTTTAGATTTCAAGATGGAAAAAAAAACATCATTATCCAAATCTTGCCAAAGGTATGGTATTTAAACCACTTAATTACCTTTATATGAATTGCTTTAACTATCAAGCTTTTATATGCAAGTCTGTCACATTTACAAGGATTTTCCTCCTTGAGAAATTGCTTAAAAATTTAAGATCAAATACACAAGGTAGTATTACACTGAAGACAATATAGTATATTAAATTATGTATAATATAAGCATAATAATGGCCCAAGAGACACTGGCATTCAAAAATAAAATACTGTTATTATTTTTAGCAACAAAATTATTTTTTATTGGATATTTTTTTAACCCGTGAGCATATGCACCATACAGTTTTGATACTTATTACTATTGCAGATATTTTAGGAATTTCTCAAAATTTGAACATATCACTTTAGGTACCTTATTGGGTAGTCCAGTAAAAGGAATTCTTAAGAACTGAAAATTACATTACAGTCATTTTACATTATGAATCTGACTGAGTATGAACAGATGCTGCTTCCATTCCGTTCATACTCAGTCTGCGAGGTCTTCTCGCAAATATTTTTCGACAGACAGGGAAATTGATGGCATATGCAGTCGATGAACTATATAGTCATCAAGCAAGAAAAGAATTTCATAGATTAGCCCCAATAAAAAACATATACGAATAATAGTTAATAATTTTCAAAAAGTGTATTGTATTTCTGATTATTGTAATATTGATGAAAAACTAGAACCCTTTCGCAGAAAATGGCAATTTCGGCAATACATCAACAGCAAACCAGCAAATGTTGAATAAAAATTTTTGTGCTAATTAAATCTTATACCATCTATAAATTCAACAATGAAACCAATCATTTTTCATGAATGGACTGTGTTAAGGAATATCTTTTTGATATATCAGAAAACACAAATATACCAGAGTTTTAGAACTATCTATAAAAGGATTCTAAATTTACTAGATGACGAAATGTCCAAAAAATTCTCCAACTTGTAATCGATGTGAAGAATTTCCAAAGAGATCTCATCGAAAGGCTTCATCTGTTTGTGGAGAACGTGATATATCATTTTACAAAACCCGCTTACTCATTATATGTTGGAGCCATTATATTACCAAAAAAAGTGATTAAAGTTATTTTGATGAGTTAAAAAATATATTTTGAGCATAACTGAAAAAATTAAGTAAATCTTCCTGCTGAATATGAATGCTCAATAATGAAAGTTGTTTTCACTTAATTTTCTCAGTTATGCTCAAAATATATTTTATAAATATATTTTATGCTCAAAATATATTTTATAAATATATTTTATGCTCAAAATATATTTTTTCAGCATAACTCAAAATTTTTCAAAAAATATATTTTTTGAAAAATATATTTTATAAATACATTTTCAAAATATATTTTATGCTCAAAATATATTTTTTGAGCATAACTGAGAATCTAAGTAAATTTTCCTGCTGAATATGAATACTCAATAGTGAAAGTTTAAGTATTTCTTACTTAAAATTTCCGGATGCAAAAATGATTCAAAATATTCATTTTATTGTTGTTATCTTACTTTCCTGCAAGAAAAACATTGTTAATTGTATGTTATGTTTAAACATACAATAGTTTAATTGTATGATGTGTTTTGCTTAAAAATGGTAAAAAAACAAAAAATGAATTAATGTTGAAAGAGGGATACAAAATACATACTGATGCTTAAAAAAGTATTCAAATAACCTGTTTAGGTATAACTTTGTTTAAAATGCCTATATCCTAATTAGAAGCTAGCATAAAAATTAGGGTCAAACTCAAAACATTCATGTGGTAATGTCATAGAAAAGGGTGCATGTGCTGAAGGGTTAAGCTGCATAACAGCAACCATCTAAGATAATTGTATCAGTTAACACATATTTTATAATCTGCTTCATTACTGAAGATATTATTAGAACTACATAAAAGATTCATAAAAGCAGCTGATATAAGGAATTAACGTTTCCAATATTTGATACTGCTCCAGGTAAAATCCTGGTATACTGCCTTGGTGCAATTTTGAAAATTGTCACCAACACCAAAATGATTCATTTACTGCCCCTCATAATGTTGCCAAAACCCATGTGTATCGTGTACTAAGATTAAACCCTGTTCCAATCATAGGGAATCCTATCCGCACCATTATTTCAATAATATTTATATATGTACTGCATTTCTTTGGTTGTAAGATATACACTTTATTTTAATGCAACCAATAGTTAAAAGGATTATAAAAAAAAAAAATAAAATCAACCAAATATAACTAACACTAACAAGGAATTTTTTAATAATTGAACTGAAAAGAATTCTAAAAAAATTCCAACAGTGAAAAGAATTCTACCAAAAAAAAAAAAAAAAAATTTTTTTTTCTAATGGCAGATTGTGAACAATTACAAATGTAACCCACTCCATTAATCTATACAAAGCCGGATATAGTGGTCTCTTTATTATGGAGGCAGCTAATAGGTGGGCCACCATCGCCTTTCCTATGAAGGAACGGACAGTTACAAGCATACCTTCTCCGGGATTCGAACCCAGGCCCTTCGGCATCACAGTCAACTTCCCTGACCACCATACCGACTGGGCAGCTTCTACCAAAAATTATTATTTTTTCTACCAAAATAATAATATCCAGCATGCACTTTTTTAATAATTGAACTTGAAAAAAATTATTTATCTAGAAAAATTCACTATTCTGGAATAATTAGTAATTAAGAAAGATTTGCAATTCTAAGACATCATTTACTATATGATTTTAGCAAAATTTGCATGTGGAAGAGATGCATTACATTATACCTTAGATTCAAAGAAAGTGAGTATATTTTTACCTGGAATTACTAACTTTTTATAATTTGCTACTGCATACTAAGAAAGTATAAATGAATAATTATAAAATGTTAGGCTAACTCAGATTATGAATAATTCTAATTAAAAAACAATAAACTTTTCACATTCTGTAAAAGCAAAACAGGACTTTAGGACGGAAATTTTGAAACATGAAAGCCCAGATTGGCAGAATATATTTAAAAAAAAAAAAAAAAATTAAAAACAGAAACTGGTTTTAAGCTCATACATTATTCTGGCTGAAAGCCTCATAAATATTAGCAGCAAATGTATTTAAAGGTTCTTGCTGTATCAAGGAATGCATAAGTGCACCCTGCTCTGATGGCTCATGCTGATTAAATACATTATGCATCATGGGGATTATTTTGGCCAGAGGAGCAGCAAAATCATGAGGATTTACGAATTTTTCACCATCACTGAGAAATACGAAACATTCAGAAATCCGATCCATAATAGATGATACTCCCCGATCGATACAAAGGGTCAACACACGATTAAAATCTTGGCATTCCAAAACATCTTTAGTTTCATTAACTATTTTGGCCAAAAATTCATCACTTGAAATACTATCAGAATTTGTAGGCATGATGTACGATGACACATCAGGCAAACAGACTGAATCACTCGGAGAAAGAGAATCCCGAATGGCTCTAATGATATCACTTATATCTTGAAGCTTCAATGATCGATTTAAAGGTACAGAGTTTAAAGTACTCTCCACCGCCTTTTTAACTGGCACAAGTAGTCTGTTGATCCCATTACTCAAAAAATCAGCAATCAGAGACATGTATTTTTGTTGCTGTTCAGCAGCACTAGGTGAATTAAAGTCATTAGTACGAGACATTGTAAACACATAACCACCAAGGATACTCATTTGGACACGCAGAAGAATTGCCAAAAGACATTGTGCATACACTTCACCAACTGCTTGGACAAAAACTAAAATTTTAAGTTGTTCCCATAATTGCATCTTATTTGGTGGGTTGCTTTTAAGTTGTTCTACAAGAGGAGAAATATCTGCATTACTACACACTGTTTCTCTAATTTTGGGTGCGAACGAAATCAAAGCTGAATCGCAAGTGTTGATTGTACCTTCAAAATGACTGGAACGTTTGATCTGGTCACAAAATTCAGCAGTTCGTTGGGACTCCCATTCCAAAAGTTTGCGTCTCAAGTATGAATTTAAAACAGCGATCCCGCCAATTAAACCACCTATAATAAAAAATTTCCTCCTGTGGCGTCGAAAGCATGAAGGCACAAATTTCCACATTGTGTATAAACACAGATAAAGTACTTCGGAGTTATTTAAGTAGAAATAATATGGCTAATAGCAAATCATTCACAATTTAAAAAAATTCAGATGTGGCTTTGTTTTCCGAAACAATGCAAAGCAAACTAGATACAATCAACTACTTAGTAAACAATTCATATACTAAATCACGCACACCTTATACCTTGCATGTCTGCAAAAACAGACAGTCAGACAGACAAAGTAGACAGACGTCTTGTTTTGCACCCGCTAAGTCTTTTTGCACCGATGGGCGAAAACTCAAGCTTAGGTGTGAGAAGGAAAGGTATATAGAAATCAAGGGATCTAGTCTGGACACGACCAGTCGAGATCGGTATCGGAAAACCAGTCGGGATTCTTTTCGAACTCGACAGCAAACGGGAAAGCGGATCCCAGATTCCGTCGGTGGAAAATGAAGTGAAAATTCCGTGCGGAACTTATGTTTATTGCACAGCAACCAGTCTTAGGTCGGCGCTAAATCCCCGAACGCGCAGAAGGTCACGTGATCCTCGCTTCATGCGTAAGCCGACGTCACAACGAAGCTCCGCCCAGCATCAACAACAACTTCGTTCCATGTAGACACGGTGCGCAACTTTGATTCGGAAATCTGAAATAAGTCTTTGTAGATATCTGTGAATATGTAGAACGATTTCAATCATTATACAACTGAATGGCTTGGTTATGTTTCTCCGTATAAGAAAGCGAAAGAATAAATAGTGATAATTTTTTAGATTGGTCTTATATAGAAAAAAAGCACGTAAAAAAATCTTTAGTAAGATATTCTAGTATCGGATGTTTTTAATCTTATTTTTGCATCATACGATTGCTTTGTCAAGTTCACTGATTAAGCCGAACTCAGCCAAATTTAGTTTATAAATTTCTCTTTCAAAGAATATTCAGAATAAAACTGGGGTTAACTATTGCTGTGATACTAGGGACCCCAATTTCAGTAAACGCCCAAGGGCGATCCTAAATGTTAGTAATGTGTAATTTTGTATATGTGTTATGCAAATTGTTGCTCAGATTCTTTATTGTATATTGTTCTTTTTTCTTGCTTTTTGTTTTTAACTAGTGGCACTAAGGCGTCGCACTTCCTATTTTGTTTCTCTTGTGTGTACATGTATTCTTCTGTGAAATAGTTGTTAAAAAAATAGTTAATTATGTATGGATTAGTAATTAGGTACTTAAGGAAAAAAATTTGTATTTAACTATTAGCAATTATGAATTTAAACTCTTGCTCATTTAATTATTTAGCACATTCAGTTATATTTCTCATAATTCGAAACTTTTATCATGTTATTCGATGAGGGGTAGAGCTATGGCGCCCAGGCACCCTGGTGGTTAAGCACCGCAGTTCAACATAGGGATTATGGTAACCTCACAGCAAGATTAATAATTTAATTCACAATGGAACTGTGTTTGAATTTTAAAAAATATAAATAAACAGTTACCTGTTATTTTGTAATCAGGCCTTAAAAATAGATTCGAAGTTTTTTGAAAATGCCAATCAACTGCATTTCCATATGTTTGCTATTTTTTCTCATGTCACATCATTCATCATCAAGGGCAAACTTGTGAATAAAATTTATAAAGTTGGTACTAAAACATCTGTGTGTAGATTTATGATGCTTGCATAATAACAGATATTTGTCATGCCACCATTCATACTTGTGGATAAATATCTGACTCTCATATAACAGTTTATAATGATATCAACACAATTCGAAACTGAATTTCTTTGCTCCAGGCAAACTGTGATTTGAGTTTCCTCGCTTTCAAAATCAATTTAGTTTTATCCAAAATCCAGGCTGCTATTTTTTTAATCTAATTTTAAATAGTCTCCTTGCCAATTCAATAAAGTTAAAAAAAAAAAAAAAGTAGACAGTTTCTATTCTCTGACTTCGCAAATCCAACAGATACATAAATCAGGAAATTACAGAAAAAATGACAGTTTTTTATTGCAAGCTGAAATTATGTGCATTTGAGTAAAAATTTTATATGATGCAATTAAAATATAAAATGAGCAAAATTTCAGGCACACATCTTGTAATACTATTTCCATCATTATCATATTTTTCAAACAAGAAGCTCACATGTGTTAAAAAAATCATGCACAATGTTCCTATTAAAATTTTTATGCTCATTTTTCTCTAATAAGTATGTTTTTAAAATGTTTGTGTACTTTTATCATGCATCGTAATAATACAAGTGAAACTAAAAAAATAATTAATAAATATCAGATTTTATATGTGGCGCTCAACACACTTTTGTTCTGCAGTGTTGCCTCTGCTGTAATTTTATAGAACACTGCATTTCTGAATATTAAAAAAAATGGATATCAGTTGCATAACCTGCATCTTTATGAAAGACAATTTAAATGCAGATTCTGCCAAATTGGGAAATAATAGGTAGCTGTGCCAAAAATGTGTTTTTTTCTACATATATCAACCATTCAACTTACTTTCTGTGTTTTCAACATTCATCTTTACAACCTATATTTCTGTTACTGAATTTGATTTAGTATTAAACTATTATTTTAATTCTCAGGTATACATACATGAAATTAGTTTCACTAATTAAAAAGATTATTAGTAAGTAAGATGCTTGCAATGGTATATTCCTAAAGATATATAAGCATGTAGGAAAAGAATTGTTTTAAGGTACATAAATTATATCTTAATAGACAAATCAACATAATTAACAAACCAATCAATAATATAATTTGCAAATTCAGAATTTTCAGCAACAATACATTTTCTTTTCTTTTTTTTTAATTTTTCAAAGATACAAAACAGAAAATAAATCCATGACTGTTTCAAAATTTAAAGAAGAAAGAGTGTGGAGAACAAAATATGATTTTAATAATGAATATTTATAAGGACTAATGTTTAACATTTATAAAAACCTTTCAAATAAACTATCACTAACAGCAACACATGCATCGCAACCACAATGAGGTAATTGGCATATACAGTACAAAGTCTTAATTCCGGACTCGTCGGGACTTCGGCGATTCCGGATCAGGGGTTTTCCCGGATTATAGATCATCAATTTAAATCTGGTAAGATGGTATGCAAAAATTATAAAATTAAAAATATGAAACCGTAATTTAGGAAATAAAGAGCAATTATGATCTAAAGGGTATCAAAATTTACAAAAAAAAAGCCTTATATTTATTAGTTTACTTTATTAAACATTTCTTTCAATGTAAGTTGTTTGCTTCGTTTTTTGTGCTAATACTTTCTCTTTAATTCTATAAACAGACATTCCACTGTTCAAGTCCTGTAATTGCTGTGTCGAGAATACCGACTAACTTGTCAATCGAAATTTTTTCTTTTTCAATAACCTCTCTGTCACTTTCTTCACTATCGGAAACGGTACATCGAAACATGCTTTCGCTTTGTAGATCCTTTGGCAGCTTCAGAATCGGAAACTCTTTTTGACATAATCGAAAGTTCAAGCTTACTTTTTATAAAATTGCTCTAACAGTCTGCAAAAAATAATAAGCCGGATCCAATTAGAAGATTAAGAAACAACGCAATCTGCAACATTAACTGAAATAGATAATTCGATAATTTTAGCCTAGCTTATACCGTCCGTTATACATTAAACGCGCATGCGTAAAGGTATTATGCGCGCGCTTACGCATGCGCAGAAAGTTTGTAGCTTTGAGGTCGGATTATAGATCATTCCGGATTATGGACATCCGGATTAAAGACTTCGTACTGTACTTTGAAAGATGGCCGGCATGTACTTTTACAGCACTGGTGCTAATTTGGTGCCAAGGTCGGAGTAGGGTTTTAAAAATTTATAGTTAAGTATCACAAATTCTGCAAAAATGTGACAAAACAGTTTGCATCATACAGGCAATCACTTTCTCAAAATTTGTTGCACTATGCATGAACTATCTTCTCTGTAAATACTTCTGTTTGATAGTTCATAACGTAGAGTAAACTTGGAAAGATTTGTTAAGTACTGCTAAGCAACTTTTGCTGTATTTAATATTACTATTACATTACTGTTTATAGAGTATTAACTCTGAAGGGAAACATGATACCTCGTGTTTTAAAGAAATTATTGTGTAGCAGGAAAATATTGTTAATACACATTAAATATGTGTCTCACCGGTCGTTGGGAAGTTATGACCACTGAACACTGGTAGTTCAACCCAGGTTTTGAACACACTCAAATGAGCTAGCAGGGTTGTTTTTCTCCATGTGTAACATGAATATGAGCTAGTTTCCCTTAGGAAGTTCTCCACAAAGGTATCCCTGTCCTTAGGCATGTAGCTCTTGTGTACTTGTGCCATATTAAAATAACCTAACTTTAAATTTGAATGCAGTGTTCACAGTTATAGTAAATTAAGGTATTTTCTAAAAATTTCTTGAACTATAGAGAAAATTATTCATTATCTGTAACATGTGTAATTGATCGTTTCGCATTCCTAGACATCCACACCCTGTAAGATCATAAGGCCTTTAACTGTAATAACTCATTGCATCATTGGAAAGAAACATTATATCTATTGCAACGATTCATCCACTGCCACTTGTTCTTCTATATTCTCCTCTTTCTATATCACACACATATACGTCTAAGTTTTTGTGCTTTTGTTCTCACTATATAAAGTCATCTGTTTTCATGTAAGAAAATATCTGAGAATATTATAAACTTGGTATTAAAATTTTAAAACCAGAAAGAAGAAAGAGGTACATGATGTCTTTGAAGCAAGCCACATTACAGTCTATGCATGCAGAAGGCTAAATATGAAATTTTGCCGAAAACAATCAAAACTGCACCATGCTGTCCACCACTAGGCTAAAACATTAAAATTCCCATTGAAGGGATAATAATCTGCAGTCATGCTACTGAAAAACCATCTTGGAGAATGCTATACATATGCCTGGGTTGAACAATAAATATATTTTGGTGACATCATGGGTCCCACGTAAATGCTTTTCGGCGACATGGTGCGTTGCTTCATCAATATATTCTCATGGCTTATCGGTGTAGGTGTAACAAAAAAAAAAAAAAATCAACTGGCAAAATATTAGGTACTGTTTTATTATCGGGACTGGATTAACAAATGTATGCATGTACACATATATATGTACGTGTATACACATACATTCGTACTTACATAGAACACATACACACATACACTCATAACATATCTACA